ATTAAGCATATTGGCTTCACCTACTGTTAAAGGGATTTTCATATGGTTTATTGGATAGAGGAGTTCTGTGGTCATTTAACATTAATTAAATCCACAGTAAATTGGATTTGAATGTGAAGGGGAGAAACAATGATTTGTATTCCTCAAAGAGTTATTTGCTTAAATTGAACTCTACAAAAATGGCAAGGGAGTGATAAAGGATAGATTGTTGCTTGGGCTATTGACAACAGTTCATTCTATGCTTAAGAAATGTGTGCAAAAATTCAAAATGAAGTATCAAGCATGCATGGATTAAATTTTTGCCATGTTAATTAATTTGTTCTTTGGAGATTTAAGATGCTAGCTCTATTCACACTGGATGAAACACACAGACACACGCACACACGCACACACACACTGCCAATTCTATGAGGGAGAGGAGTGATTTCTAATATATGTATTTACAGTATGTATAATTTATGTGTGTGTGTATTGTTTAGAAATCAGCCATCTACTTTATAGAGTTGGTGGTGTACAAATAGACATGAAAACATAAAAGCTATGTATAAAAATTATAATAAAAATAGTTAAAGTAATTCACATGCACATACATATATAACAAAAGGCATCTTTGCTTTCTAAAAATTACTTAAATACAACAATTAGCCTAAAATTTTTCAAAGTTTCACATCATCTTAAATGTCACATCCTTAAAATAGCAAAAGGCCAGTTTATTAGGATTAGTTGATAGTGAGAAAATAGTGCATTCATTTAGTGGATTAAAACCTTCCCCAAAACTAGCTCCATTCCCCCCTCCCCCCCATGTCACAAGTGCGCTGGGTAGAAGGTATTCTGAGAGACCACATATCACTTGTAGTCATATGCATTATCCAATGGGTTCTATAGAATGTTTGGAAAAACAACTGAATGCCATGTAGATACAAATAATTATTAGCCAACTGAAATAGATCTGAATTTGGAAATAGGGAACAACAACAATTTCTTGACACTTGGATGTATTTTTTTTTCTCTTGAAAATCTATCAGAGAAATTCAGATACAAAACATGATTTGCATTTCCAGGAAAAATTTGCAAACACATTGCTTATACCCTAACTCCTATTTGTAAGCTCAACGTGTTTTCACTGATTCTCTGCAGAACAGCTGCATCATACAGAATATGTTTTTCTTTGGGAAAACTCCCACCCTATTTTCCCAACCTGGGATTCTATTTCTATTTTTGTAAACCAGCCATAGACACAAGGCTCTGTTTTTCAGTTTGACCCGAAGTTAAGCGGGTCAACATTCAATAATCCAAGCCTGTGAATGCAATTTAGTTGTAGTAGTAGAAATAATTAGAAAGAAGTCTTACAAGGTCTGAGATGTGATCACTAGTCCAGAGTGTGAGATGAGAAATTATACCAAAGGCTGGAGCCAATCAACAGGCGAGGGTCAGAACTAAGCAACAAGTCAGAAGTCAGAACCTTGGACCAGGGGTGAAATTTAAAATTTTTCCCGACCAGTTCTGTGGGTGTGGCAGGGGAAGGATATTGCAAAATCTCCATTCCCACCCCACTCTGGGGCCAGCCAGAGGTGGTGTTTGCCGGTTCTCTGAGCTACTTAAAATTTCCGCTACCGGTTCTCCGAACTACTCAAAATTTCTGCTACCGGTTCTCCAGAACCTGTTAGAATCTGCTGGATTTCACCCCTGTCTTGGACTTAAGTTAGAACCAAGGACAAGAAAATATAGGAATGTACAAGAGCAAGGAAAGATATTTTCCTCAGATAAGCTCTGGAAAAGCTAACATTTTGGCTTAATGGGTATATCAAACATTTAAAATGGGTGCTGCAAGTATTCGTGCAAAACCAAGGGACGGGAGACCTATCCAAAATGGCTGTCCTTAAAAACAACATGACAAAAAGTTTGCCATCTTCTCTTGCCCCCTCCCCTCCATGCATGGTTTACCTTTTTTTCCCCAGGCAGGTGTCCATGTTTCCAAACAAGGAACTATCCCATTTTTTGGATTATGTACAGTGCTTCTTTGGTATGCAAGGCATTCTTAGAAATGGAAAGGATGCCACAGAAGCCTCCTCCCAAAACAACATTGTCCCATTCAAATAAATAAATAAATAAAATCTGGGGAAGGAAGAAGTTCAGCAAGCACAAGTTTATCTGCCCTGCATGTTGTTCTCTGAATCAAATACAATTGTGTTATATAGTCTTTTCTATAAAGGAAACTCCAGTGATGGATGGGGCCAACTTCTGGCTTGAAGGTATTTTCTCTTTAATCAGATGTTGGCTAGTTATTCTGTAGGATGGTATGCCATCACATGAACTCTTATTTTCATAATGACATCCTCAGTAAGAATCAGAATAGGCTTTTTCTTTTTTTTGGAAGTAGCAGATATGTAACATTCATGGCCTTGATATAAACTGATGATATTATTTGTGGTAATGTGTAGCTGTTTCTAAACAAACCTATTGGATCTTGATGTGACTGAGATTTTTAAAAAGATTTTAGTTACTAACTATAGCCACCCTGAATTATGGGTCTGATGTGTGATCACAAAGTCCTTTGCAATTTCTTTTTCAATCCTTTTCAACAGTTTCCCAGTTAGACAATTTTGTTACAGCTTTATGATTACTTAACATGAAACTAACACCTTCAAGTAACTGATTTGCACTGTATGCCTAAGCTTCCTACCAGTTCACTTTGGTATTTCAGGTTCTCTGAAATAAGATTGAAGATCTGGAAAACTAACCATGTATTTAAAGTTCATAATATTCTTCATACTTATGGAATATTAGGAAGGGGGTGAAACACCAGCTTTCCTCATCCACTTTGATGAATATTGTTCTTCATTTCCAAATGTCACTTTTCGGATCAGCTAATTTTTTTGAAGAAAGTAGTAATTCTGTCAGGATTAAAATAAAGCCTACAATTGTTAATGCATGGCCTATGCATTTTCTTATTGTCCAAGCTCTGAGGTTCCCTACTTCTACAGTTTACCTTGCAGCTGATATTTGTTTTCAACAAATTTCCTTTTTTTTTTGCTTGGGTACTTTTGGCTCTCTTTGCTTCAATGGAATTCAAATTGTGTCAGAAATAAAAATTTAGGTGCAATATCTAAGATGCCTCAAAGGTCATGCAATTAGCACTTTATACACTAAAGAAGCATTGTATTTACTTATATGTAGGGAAACTGGAATTCAGATATCTGGGGCCATCATTCTTCCTGTAATATTACCTAATTTTAAAATTGATTCAAATTAATAATATAATGTCTTATATTTGATGTGATTTAAATATGGAAATCCATCATATTAATATGCTGTCCAAAAACAAGCCTACTCATACGAAAACTAACCTGAAATTTCTAAGGGTGTTATTTAAGCCTACCTTATATGGTCTATCCATTCACAGAGAAGAATGCATTATTAACTGAAATACAAGCTAAACAAAAGCTTGTTTAATAGCGATAAGATGACCATTAAAAATCATCAATGAAAATAAGAATGGTTCTTGATCCTATTAATTTAATGCTAAACTTATAAGTGATGTTTTGGCAAAATGAATGTATCATTTTATCAAATAGCATATACACCCAATTTTTTGACATATCCTAATGTGATTATTTTTTGCTATTATTTCTGCACGAACACATCCCTTTTTATCTCAGGATGCCCTTAAGGCATTTGATTGCTGGGAGTGACTCTATTTATTCAGGCTCCATATAAACTAAATGTTTAGTATTTAGTATCTCTGTTTTGTTTATATTCAGAAACCCTATTCTTCACATTGCCAGAATATTTAAATGTTAGCTGATATAATCCAAATAAATGAAAAAGAGGAGCAATTAGTGATTCCTTCAACTTAACATCTCTTAGGTTTTCATCCAAGCCTAATGAGACATTATCATTTTTAAAGAGAATGCAAAATGACTCTAAAACAGTGGTTGGTTAAAGTTATTATTTGGCAAATCCTTTAGCAAATTCCTTTTTCTTTAACTATATGTTCCTGGATATCTTTGAAATTGTCCCTATTAGTAATGTAAGATAAAGATCTGCCCCAATTCTTTTTAAAAAATTGCTTCCAAATTTACCATGAGAGGCAGATTTTAAAGTGTTGCCAAAAAAGGCTAGACCTTTACATAAAGAAATGGGAGAAAACTAGAACGGTCCAAAATAGTCTACCTAGGAGCAAAATAATTTTAAAAGAAAATGACTAGAGACTTTTGTCTTAAAATCTTTCTCGAGACAAGAAAAGAGACAATAGGAACTGTTTCAGTTTATATGGTATGATAAATTTCCAGAAATCTAGAAAGAAGTAACCACACGTGGACTTCTGGAATCAGTAAGTAACCAGATTATATTAAAATTTAGCTTTTATTTTGGGTGTATTCAAAGCCTAATTCCTTTCACAACTATTTTTCTATGAAATGTTACCTCCATTTTGGATGAGCATACAAATTGTTCTTTTGTTTACACTTTTTGAATCCATCCTATTTGGTTTAAGCCCAACACCTGTGATCCTCTGTGTTGCTGTGTGTTTTCTAGTAAAAACTGGTTTAAACTGACATTTTTGCTGCTAGTTGTAATCTAATAACATGCCTTTGCAAATTGACTTCTAGTTGCTGGGCTTAATCTGATTTTTTGTATTCCTTTATTAGTAGAAAGGAGAAATGACATTTTACTTCTTTTAGTCTTGCTGTTATGGGAGCTGGGGGCAGGGAGGGAAGGAAGATTGGGGCAGTAAAAGAATCACTGCTATATTCACCTCAAACTATTTTTTTCGAATCAACCCTAATAAATGCAGTTTGTGTAAAAAAATTTTCCTTCTCTTTCTTCATTTTTAAAAACCTTTTTGCTAGATAAAAAAGCATAAGCAAGAGAAATTAGTTGAATGCAAACAAATTGCTTTAACTCACAACTCCTCCTGCAGAAGAGAGGTGTGAGCCAGCAACCCAGAAAAAGGGAGGTAGGCAGTCCTCTGGAATAAATATTTTGAATTCCACCTAGACATGGTATTGGAGATGGAGAAGGTGCCATTGAAATGAGAATGAGAAAAGCTAACGTTGGAAGAAAAAGAGAATTCAACTTGCACACGAAACTGATACAGGTAAGATACAAGCATAGAACTCAAAGATGCTATTAATTCCCATAGAAAGACTTGTTTCCTGACTACAGAAATGGAGATAAGAACTTAATCATTTTTTTAGAGAATGTACATCTCCTACAAAAGTTCCCATATATGCTATCTCTATCCATACTTCAATGGCAACATTTTTTTTTGGCAGAAATCAAGATATGAGATGGAAGACTACAAACTCTTTGAGGACAGAATGAACTCCAATTGGACTTATTCAAGAAAATGTCAGAGAGAGATTCATGAATCTGTAGAAAAAGCTCTTGAAGAATGTTCAAAAACTGTTGTTCATCAGGTGCATTAGGTTTGGGAGAAAAACCAGACAAGGTAAGCCTAAGACAACACATGCAACCCAGCCAGCCCTACTTGAGGGGGGCTGCCTAGCAGATAGGTCTGTTATTATACATTATTTTAAATACAGTGGATTGGGGCACATGGAAAAAAGGAATGATGTCCAGTGGGCCAGTAGCCACCATCTGACTTCAATATGACCATCAACCTAGGAGAATACTATCTGCTAGTTCAGATCAAAGGTATGCTGGGGCAGATATCTTATTAGTGTGCAAGACTCTTATCACAGACAGGCCTTTGAACAATGGACTTTGACTCTTCAACAAAGAGACTTCCTTATACAATTTGGACCCTGGATGGAATAATAGCATTTTGCTGTTGAGAATAGTCCACCCATTGCCTTGTTGCTCACTTGTGTTGCCACTGGCTCCCAGATGAGTCTTGTTCTATCTCTTCCTGGATCATTCTGAAGGCTTGGCAGGCCATCCTTTCAGGCATCATCAGAAAGCCACTCGGAATTTTGTTTAAAGAGCACCCCAAAACTCTTCAGATGTCCCTCAACCCACTTCTATATTCCTATGCTGTCTTTGACATACTTATCTATTTGTTCTGATTCCCCTCCCCAAGCATTGTTCTCTCCTGGTGCCATCATAAAGCCACTGTTTTTGTCTAAGGCATTTTTTTCTTGCTGTTTTCTCTGTGGGGATTATCTGTATCAGGTTTTGTAAGCTTTGCTGTTTACTTTCTAGCCTTCATTCATGCAGCTAATTAGCCTTTGAGACTTTAAAAAGAAACTTTAATAAGGTGGTCAGCTTGATCCTACATCCTGAATATTGGATTCATAAAACATTGCACTTTATGCCCTGTTAGCCCCCACTTTCCTTATGGTTCAAAACTTTTGTTTTCTGGATGTGCACATCAGTAATGGGTTTCAAATCCCATTGCTACCAGTTCACTTGTGGATGCGCATGCGCTTGCGCACACGTGTGATGCTACTGCACATGTGCAGAGACATCTGGGTGGGTGGGCGTAGCCTCCTGCCACTACTGGTTCACCCGATCCGGGGCGAACCGGTAACAACCCACCACTGGTACACATGCATGTTTAAAGATGTTAGGTAAGAAGAGGGAATGTTAATACTGTAAACTATTTCTATTTTTAAAAAAACTTTAACAATGATACTAGCAATATGTGTATTACATGCATTTTTCAATTGAAGTTCCATTAGTAGTGATGGAAATGGTAGGAAGAGGTGAGTGTTAAAAAAGTATTCTGAAAATAACCTGGAACTATTTTCTTATTTCTAGGAAGACTGCCTCTTCTTTCAAAAATTGGTAGAGAAAAATTTAAAAAGGAAGTGTTATGAGGAGACATACATTTATTATAGCACTTACCGTGCCTAATGAAATTTGCATTAGAAAGATGATCTTCGTATAGAGACAGCATTACAGGAATCAACTTTGCAAAAGATTATTTGTGCCTTGAATACTGCCGGATATATTGCTTTGCTTCTAAACTTTTAATGTTTTTCTGTGATACGATTCTCCTATTTTAACTATTTCAGTGAATATTTCATTTGTTTGACCATCTAAAACAAGATGTGCTTTTGTCTTAGAATATTTTTTTCTCATATGTAAAGTATTTAATGAAGCGATTAATAGACTGACAGTAATTATTTTTTAAATGGTAACAACTTTACGTTTGATACTTTAGGCATGGCACTTCAGATTTCAAATTACAGATCTGGTGGTAGCATTCTTAGTATTTTAAATTGTATTTTGTAGGACATATTCTGACTTCCCAAAAATATTACAAAAAGTTCTTGTTGGGATTTCACTGTTCAAAATGAGAATTATCAGAAAAATAGTAAGCCAATGCAATTAAAAAGAATAAGAAAAGGAAAGTTTATTTTTCAAAATTATGAATTTGACTAAAATTCTCACCTATGGAAATTTATCTAATTTGACTATTTTTGACTGCAAACATAAAATCTATCTTGCATTTTCTACAATAATAATGAATGATTCAGATTTAAAAATTACAGAAAACATACAGCGTTCCGGTATGTAATGATGACCACACCTAGAATGATGAATGCAGCAGATCATAGTTAGAATTCACTAGTCAAGAGCACTCTGAAAACAGCTTCATGGATAAGTTTGTGTGGATCAGTTCTGAAAACTAGCTTAAATCTATAAAGTAAATACTTGATGATACACACAAACTTTCTATCTTGAATGCCAAAATATCCCAGGCTTACCTACTTATAGAAATATTTTAATATTTCCTAACCTTTATACTTTATTCTTGATTGAATTCAGTATTGGTATTATTATTGTCTTTGAAATGAGAATCCTTAAGAAAATAAAGTTATGTTGGAAAGCAAGATGTAATATTATTTGTTGGATTTATATTCTGCCTTTCTTGAAGGTAGCGTACAGTGCATAGCGTTCCCTCTTCCCATTTTTCTAATGCCATGAAGAAAGTTAGACTGGTCAGAGGGAGAATGACTGGTCTCAATTCATTCAAAGATTTGCCTGATTGAACCTGGATATTTGTAATTCTAGGCAAGCTTCTTGATGACTATACCACAGTGATTCCTTATCCATTTTTTCTTAAACTTTCAAACTCAAAAAACATTGCAATTAATTGTTGCTGGAGATACTCCAATTTTCTTTGCAGCCAAGTTCTCATCTTGGTGGCCAAGCCTATAAACTTACTGTATTGATATCCCACCCTTTTGCTGCAAATTAAGAGCAGCCTTGATGGATATTTTATTTTTAAAACCACCTTTGTCAGGCAAATTGGTCAAGCATTTATGGTCAGGTGGTTTCCACAATCTTTATTATTTGTCCAAAGATTGTCTGAAGGAGCAAAAGCTGTTGTTTTGAATTCTTTGCAATCTTTTATAATTTTCATGGTATTATGAACTTCATAATTCTTCTTTATTAGGCTATTTTCTCCACTTTGACTTTGAGCTGGTACTTCTTACATGCATTTGTCCACATTTGATGAGTGTCAGTTATACATCTAATACAGGGGTGGTATTGACTTACCTTCGCTACCGGTTCAGAAACGTGAGCGTGCGTGCATGCGTGCTCACTTTGCTCATGCGTGACACCTCTGCGCATGTGCAGAACCTTCTGCACAAAAATGGAACATGATGACATCCGAGTGGGTGGGCGGAGCATCCCGCAGCCGCTGCTACCATTTTGCCTGAACCGGATAGAACCGGCTGAATACCACCACTGATCTATTATACATTTCTGCAGATTATTATCTAAGGTCTCTTCAATTTAGTCAGTAAAGAAATGCATGCGTGTCTTCTTAATGTAATTACTCATATTCACAGTAATAATCAAATAGTAAATTACTTGTTCGAGAAGATTGATCAGACATTGGTTTACCTTTGTCAACTCCAAATTAAGATTTTCTAACTAATAGAGATTAGTATATGAACTTTTTGCATGTTCTTTTAGAATTAATGATTGAAAGATGTCCTGATATAATCATTCTAATGCAAATATATTCATGGAAATTTCTTGTTTATAAAAATGTATAGATAACTAAAGCAAAATTTGAACACATGGTCATATGAGTTCCATTCCACTTAGATATTACATTATTCACAGAATGTGCGTATACACCCACCTATGTACACAACAGAAACACAGCATATTCATAGGGATTTTAACATATTGTCTCTTACTACTTTTTAATTTCATTAAATATTTAAAATCGTAAAGAAAGTAGAAAAAGCAAAAAATTTATAGAAAAAAGATTTACAAGTATATAACTATACTGAATAAAAAATGTCAAAGAACATTCGTTTCATTTTATATATTAAAATATTTGTCAATTTCAAACCGGATTATTAAAATCAAAATAACATACCATAACATACCATTAATAACTGTAACCAGTAAAATATAAATGATTTCATATTTAAAATATCAGTAAATGAGGTAAACCAAATAAATCAAGATGAGCATTTATAGTAATTTTGGCCTAGTATAACTAATGTATCGTTATTTAGAAAGTCATAGAGAAATTTAAATGCTAGTCTTTTATTAGAAGAAATGTAAGCATCAAACACAGTACAAGACCATGTGTGGAATTATAATTAAAAATTTGGTTTCCATATTGATTTGAATTCTATATCAGATTTATTATTTTTTTAAAAAAATGAAGTTATTTTTGACATTGATACATTCTCTAACAACATGCCTTGCCAATCTTCTGTAAAAGCCATTCTGTAATTAGCATTCCTCATATCTAAAATCATATATAAAACCAGTTTGGCATACTTTGTGGAACATGAGTAATATTTAATGGGTAAATAGCAAGTTGCAAAAAGAACACAACCTTTAGAATTTGTTTCATTCTATTATAAAATTATTATCCATAATTATTGGCTTTGCAGTATTGCTATCAAAATGAAAAACAAATGACCTGATCTGCTTATTACATTTCCAAAAATTTTACCAATTAATACTGGAGAAATAATACCTTTAGTAAAATAGCTTATATCAATTTTCTGTAAGTGAAATATTCATTGTAAATATTTTCTTCCACTGATATTCCCATTGTTGTATATCAATTTTTCTGTTTATTTTGGCATCCGTTTAATCATACAGTCCTTGATTGGTCTCTGAATCATATTTCAACTGGAACTTGTAGATAAGCTCAGCAAATGTTCTGAATTTTCTTTTATGTTTTTCAAATTCAGTCAGGTCTCTGAACGTTCCACCTTGTTTTTGTAATTCCTTCAGAATTATAATGTTTATTTGGAGGTAGTGAAACCAGTGAACGGATTCTGACCATTCCAGAGAAAGAATTTTGAAGGATTTCCTCTTTGTCTTATTAATAATTAGATCTTGATGACTATGAGAGTTATTCCATCTCCATTGTTCAAATATCTTTGTATGTTCACTTCCATGGGAATATATTTGGACTAATTCTTGTTCTGTGTTTATCCCAAACTTTTAATATGCTGCTTATTATTGAATGATCTCCTATAGGTTGTATTTTTCTATATATGTCAAATCAAAGGTATTTATGCAAACCATCTGGAAGGCCTGCTCCTTCAATAGAAACAATCCAGCTGTAAGATGATATAATTCAATGTGCTATCCAAGTTAAACAACTAGCTTGGTAATACAATTTGAAATTAGGTACTGCCAATCCACACTGTAATTTTGAATCTTCTAAAATCTTAAACTTGATCTTTTGTCTTCTACTAGATCATATAAAATTAGGTATTGGTATTTGCCACTTGTTTAGTACCTTATCTTTAATTTGGAATTGGGATAATTTGAAATAGAAAATTAACCCAGGAACATTTCTCATTTTTATTAATTCAGTTTGCCCATGACATTTAGATCAGGAGAAAAGATACCTTAGTGTCAATAGTTTTTTTTTACTATCTATCATCACTTCGAATAAAGAAATAAAATCAAAATTTAGAAATATTAATTGCAGGAGTCTTGTATCTGCTAATTGGTAAAATACTTAGATTGTTTGAACATTGGAATGCCTCCATTTATTGTTAGAATGCCTTGATCAATGACTATTGATGATATTCTGAGAACATAGAGTTTATATAGTTTCATGAACCAAAAGGATGAAAATAGTGTGCGTAGGAAAAGGAGTAACATTCAGAATCTGAAACCAAGAAAATTAGAAGTCATGTATCTGATGAAAAAGGAGTTTAGCTACTTAGATAGATCAAACTGGCCAAAGACAAGAGGCACATATGAAAACGTAAACAAGTAGGGGGGATGGTCAGATGGTGCTTAAAAATAAAATGGTTAATTATAGAAATAGGTATCCACAACAATGAAATTTAGAAGATCATCAACCAATCTGGGGAAAGATGTGGCTACAACAAGCTATAGTTGTACCTGTCTTATAATTCCATCTGATTTTTAATTCTCCACCTCATAACATCTTCCACATGGCAGCTGTTAAAACTTCCAGATCAAGAAATGTAGTTATTTCAGCTTTCCATCTTTGAATGAAAAGGAAAACACAGAGTATTACAATAATATCTTATTATTTGCTTCCTGGAACATTTTAAGAGTGAGGCAGAAGGACCATTGTATAACAAAGCTTCATTTGGAAACAACTTATGGTTTTCTTAAAACCCCCTCTGGGATTTGTAGTTTTCTGAATTAAAACTCCTGGTGTTCACAGGGAAAAGTCAATATTTATTGCAGTATGAATAAACTAATGAAAATGAACTATGAAGCCATAGTGCATCTCCAGTGTAATTACTGTGGAAAGTTATTTTTGGAAAAAAATATTTTTTTTTAGACAGTGAGAAATCTATATGACCATCGTCCATTCCACTATTTATCTTCAATTATAAGCCAATTAATGAATCAATGGTGCTTTACATATACCCTGCATAAATTGACAAAATTCCCAACTCAACTGCCAATGGCTTAGCAAAATGCAGAGAAACCATAGGACATATGAATGCAGTTTTGTATGTATGTATGTATGTATGTATGTATGTGTAATATATTTGTCCATATACATGCAGTTATGTATGTTTACATTTGTGACTTTCTCAGGATTGATCCAGTTCCAAAATATATAGTTCCAAATATAGAACAGTCCAACAACAGGACACTGCTGTCCAGTGGTGAAATCCTGCCGGTTCTGTCTAGCTCGCATGAGCCTGTAGTGCCAGTGGTGCGTGGTTTGGCGATATGGATAGATATGGATAGAGTCAAATTATACTGTGTAGTTTCTGTGTACACTATATAATGTGTATGAGCCTCATTTTGTGCCTATCCTTGTGGTGACTATATTTTCTTGGAAAAATAAAGGACAAATCTGAAAAGGGGGCAAATCTGAAGGAAATTCATAAGGACAAAAAAATTAATAACTGCTTTACAAAGAAAAAAATCAAGTGTAGAAGCAACAAAAGGACATATTCTAATAAAGATATCAAAAAACAAGCAATATTATGTAACTTTATTTTAAAAGGACAATTCAATTTCCATATTTTTCACATTAATATGAAAGACTGGGCACTAAATGGTACCATTTGTATTGTAAAACTTATACGGACAAAACAAAGGACAAAACTGAGCTTTTGAAAAATAAACATAAAGGACAGCTTTCCGAAATAAAAGACTGTCCTTTATAATATGGTCACTGTATCTATATTAGAAGGTTTCACACTTACAAGCCAGATTTCAACAAGTTGCAAAATATGGAATGATTTTATTTGGGATTGGAAAGAAATTTCCCATTTTCTCAGATGTTTCGTCTCCCAGGCGTTGTATTTTCTGGGTGTAAATATTTGGGAGATTTGGAAGAGAGTTTTTACTTGACCTACAGTTAGATGAAGCAGACAATCAATCCTTTCCTTTT